AAGGCCAAGCAACGGCAAACACACAAAAACAGCAACACACACACACACACAACGTGCACACCAAAACAATGGTTCGCGCAGAATAAAGGTCAGAACTGCCCACCGTAGCCGACCCTTCGGCCAAACAAAGCTGCCGCCACCAGCAAAGAGCTCGTCTGGGTAGTCGTTCGAAAGATTCGGAACCCAAGTTCCAAAAAGTCCGGCGCTGGGAACCACAGGTGTTTGGGAGCCCTGGCGCGAATACTAAGGGCACTTTTTGGTGCTGTAGGCATGCGCTCAGGGGAGGTTTGCGAAGGGGGTCTCGCAAACAAACCTCACGCAAAGGGTTCTCAAAGGGGCAGTCTCGCGAGAAGTTGGAGATTCTCAGGTACAAAAGCCTTAAGCCCATAGCGCACCCAACCCTACAAGTGAATTGATGCGGCAACATGCTCTATAATCTTTTTCATGCCAGGGATGCCGCCTCAGTTGCTAGTGCAACGCTCCCGCCGTGCGGAATGACCCATCCATGGGAGGTCAATGCAGGGACCCAGGGAGGCTCCGCAGCCGGGGAGTTGCCCCGCAGCCTGGCAGCTTCTCGCAGCTGAAAACCCTTCGGTCGGCTTCTCACAGCTTGGCGGCTTCAAACCTTCGCGTCGCTTTGGAGCTCGGAGCACTTCCTGACCATCCTGACCTTCCGTGCTCCAGCGTTTCGAACATCGGCACCTTCAAAGCTGACTCTGAAAAACTAACGCGTTTTCGTCGTGAGTCGTGGGCTTTTTTCGAGCAGCAAAGGCCCCATCTGTGTTCCAATCTAGAAAGCCCAAGGTCCCTTGTGCGCGGGTATGGTCTGGAAATGCACGCCTCTATGTTCCAAGCTTGAACACTTAATTAAATGCCACTTGCTTTTTGAGGACTGCCACTTGCTTTCCTCTTTGGTGATGCACGTGCTGTGAGACCAAAACAGCTTGGTCGCAGACCCGTGGCATTGCTTGACAGCTTGCCGGCCGCATGTTGGCGCTGTGAGTTTGACACTTGCCACCCCACCCGATAGTCGTGGTCGTCGCGGCTATGGTCGTCGTGGAGGCGGCGGCGGTGGCGACGGCGGTGGTGATTGTAGCGGCATCAAGCACACCCAGTCAGAAAGCTCCATTCCCATGAAAACACAAGGGAATAACCAGAATGACAACTGCCAAGAAGGATTCCAAAGCATGCTCAAACATCACCACCCCTTGGTCTGCACAACGACATCGCAAAAACTCAACGACCCTCTTTGGGCCATGTGTCGATCTGTAGATCGCCACCTTTGCTGCTAGCCCAGCCGCCGCCCTGGACAGTCTGAGTCCTGAGAGGACTCCACCAAACCGCGCTGCCGCACCCCAAAGCCCCAAAGCATACAAAGGAGGGCCTCTCCGTATCTCTTGAGAAAGGATCTTCTTCCCAATCCATTTAGACCTTTGGAACAACCCGCTTGGTGTGTGACCAATGTTCATCAGGGATGCCGCTCTGCTCTGTGGCACTCCCAATGTCGGGGTCCGGTGTGGAAGACAACTCGAAGGACAGAACGAAGGTAACCGCGGCATATCTTCTGGATAGAATAGACATCCCAGAATCTTATGAGGATGTCAAGGATGTCTATTGCCTCTAACTTCTAATTTGTCCGGGGTCTCAAGGTTTTAATCACACCAGTCTTTGCGTTGCTGGTCGGCCAGAATCTTTCACTCCCATAGCCCAGCCCTCTTCCTTCAAAGCTCCTGCACCCAAGCAACCTTCAAGAAGATCAGTTAGAACACATGGATCCTTTTGCTGGAGTCGTTCTGTTTTTCCTTGGTGTTGCTTTGTTGGTTTAGCGAGTGCCAGTGTTGATGGTCCAGATTGGTTTTCCTGTGTTTCCACTGCTGCAACTTCCTTGCACAGTCTTCCATGGCGCCCGTCTTCCACTTCCACCTCCTGTCCCAAGGCACCAGTCCGTACCACCGCCCCCTCGCAGTCGATCGGAGAGAACGCGCGTGACGTAGTCGCAGAGGGCGATGTTCCGCACGCGCGTCTGGGTCACATAGTCCAGCGGAAACCCAGCCTGTCCAGTCGGCCCCGGCTTGGGAAGATCCGCATGGAATCCGAGAAGGAGGTGGTCCGGCGGAGCAACGGTTCGGACGTTGGTGCGGTGGTCCGGCGGTTTCACCCGCCAAGGGAGCAGCATTGCGATGTACTCTCCTCCAAAAGTTCAGTATTCTACCATGGGATGTGAAGAAAACCCCTGGCGATGTGAAAATGCATGCGGGATGTGAACCATAACATCTGATCGAATTGACCCTTTGAATTTGGGTTGACCTAATTAAATAATTGAGTTGGCCATGACACAGGAATGTTTTCTGTTCTATTCTGATGTCCTTCCAGGTCCCATCACCGGATCTCTGGTGGCACCAAGCAGCTGCCGACATGGGAACGCGGACTCGGATCCACGATGGAGGAGCATAAGCGTCGCCCTGCACACCTCGGCGCTGGCAGCTGCTCAGCGCAAGGCGCAGGCGCGTGGCGCGGGTGGCTCCTGGTTCCTTCTTTGGGATTTGTCCAGAAGAACCAACGAAGGGGTGGAGGGGCATTGGTTTCACAAGGGTCCCAAGACGGGACACGAGTTGAGGGGAGCTGACGAATGCAGTCCCACTTGGGTTTTTGGCATGGTCAAAAACGGCTCTTTCTGAAACGGGAACTCTGTCAGACTTGGAGATTTTGGAGAAGCATTTCAAACCAAGATGCGGTCGAAAAATACGCTCATCGACCTCTTCCTTAGTACGTATCGCTTGCTGGTGTAAAAGAATGGATACAACACGGGTGACGGTCATAGGTGCTCCCTCAAAGTGAGAGAAGCAACATCAGGTACAAAGCAAAACTCTGTAGAACTCCATTGAGTTCCCTTCGTTTCAGTTTCTAGAACTTTCTGGATCAAGTTGTGTTCACGACGTTCACGGATGGAGATGGAGATTCCCCACCGGGTTCCTCCGCCACATTCCGTTTCACATCGGACAAGGCGCTCGATCTCCCAGGCACCGCCCATAAGATCCTTGTAGCAAGGATACTGCCTGCGGGGAAGCGTTATGAAGCGATTGGTAGAACTAAGTGATACTGCCTGCGCTTCATCACCTTGACCTCACATATTGAACAGAATTGCCGTGATCATTCGTGATCAAGCTCGCACAAGATGTCACGTTGACTTAACAGTTGCAACTTGAAGAAGTAGCTTGTGAGGCGTCCGGCTTCGCTTGGGGTTTGCTAAAGCGACCCGGCAAAAGCCGTGAACACATGTGAAAATAGCTACTAGCAAGGGGTAGGGAAACTCCCAGTAGCTCCTAGGCTCCCTGTTTGATGTGGAACGTGGATATTCCGGCTCCTTAGTAACAGCTAGTCTTACCACGAGATTTCATGATATTTCCACATTTCCCCAAGCGAGGCTCTCCATCCCCACGTCAGGCTGCCTACCCTCAAGCTCTTGCAACTTCTTTTGCAGCCCAGAGAGGGGCCCCGAGCTCACAGTCTTCCAGTGGTCCTCAGCTTTCTTCTCAGTGTGAATATTTCCACGTGCATCTCGCGTCTCGGTCCGTGCGGCAGTTGAAGACAAGGATCATCTTGCCAACCTCCTGGTCACGCCCCGACCCACGCAACGCCCCAAAAGAAGCGATTCTCACATCCAAAAAGCCCAAACATGAACCCCTGCTTTGAATGGGGCAAAGCCATTCATTGGCAAAGCGGAACCCCTAAGACAGAGGCGAAGGCACGTCCAAGAAGCTTGCTCCTGAACACAACGTGAGACATTCAACACACATCATCATCAATCGAAGCGGAACAGGAACAGGATGCCACCACCCAAGGGATAAAACAAGATAAAACCAAGATACCTGGATCTTCCAACTATGCCACACACATTTCTGCCTGTTTGAACTTGATCACAGGCCTGTTTGATCCAGGTCTGTGGTCCTTCGAAACCGGTGGTTCTCGAAACCGGTTGCACCCACGCGAGTCCCCAGTTCTATTCTCAGAGGTGATGCTCCCAGGCCCGGAGCCCCAACGAACATCGGCCTCCATCATGGTTTCCCCCATCCTTCGGCTTGATATGCCTTGGCTTGATATGCCGTGACATGTGGTACATGATGATACATGTATACGCATGACATGCGGAGGCTACTCAAGATCATGGAGTCTACCGCTTAAGCTTAACCTTACAAAGTGCATGATTCAGAAGCTAAAAACAAGAGAGCAAATGATTCGATCAGGTTCCCAAAGCCAAAAATGACTAATGGGCTGCGCTGGTTGCTGCCACCATGGATAGCCGCCTTTGCCCTTGCCTTTACCCATGGCTCGACCACCCCGTGCGCTTGCAAAACAACAAAACGTGGATGAAGTGAATAGTCTGAAGTAAAACGGAACACTCACGAAGCTTGCCACACCCCTCAACGCTGTCCCGTGCACGGCAATTCGTTGCGTGCTTCCTCTCCAAACTGCGGGGCACTGACCCGGGTTCCTTCCCGAGAGCATGCGAGGAGCTGCTGCTCTCTCGGCTGCGCAAGCCGAACTAGCTGCATGTCAGCACCCCAGCACAGCCAGGGTGTGTATTTTCAGAGGGGCATCTCCAACGAAATGGGTCGACGGGTCTAATTGTTTTCTTTCAGAGGGTCTTTGTAGAGTCTATTTAAGACACACCGAAGCCAAAGCGCAGGTCTCAGGTTTTCAAGATCTTCCCCACGCCTCGATCCCTTCACCTGGCCGTGGCTGTTCAAAAATGCGTGCGTTTTTGCGCCAAGCGATGAAGCAAACAAGAAAGACTTGAGTTAGCACCTGCAGTATCAGTTCCTTCTCTGCAACCCTAAACCCTGAAGCCCGTTTGAGCCAAGACTCGTGAAAGAAAACCATGAAAAGCACCTCTTTAGCAAGGAAGTGAGCCTAGAACCCGTAGTGGGTCATTCCCGTGTCCCCCCCCCAAGATCCATTCCACCCGCAACCATTCCGCACTCTGCTGGGTATTCCGCCCTGCCTGTGGAGACTGGACTGGCCTAGCAAACAAGTCGGCGCCCTCCTAGCTCATGATTCATGTTGCGCATACCCCACTACCAGGGCCCAGTGGATGATGCAGGCCTTTCTCAAAAATCGTGATCATTCCCCAGACAGTTTACTGTTAGGGGTTCTCAACTCTTTCTTAAGATGTGTCCGTCCTTTGTGTCACTGCTGGTGTCCGCCCTATTCCGCTGGCCATGTAGCATTTCTATCATTTGTCTCCCACGTCTGTCACTGGTGGTGTCCGCCCTTTTTCGCTGGCGAAGCAGCATTTCTATTCATTCCCGAAACAGTTTATTGTTAGTGGTCCTCAATTCTTCTTTAAGATGCGTCCGCCCTTTCTGCCACTGCTGGCCCTTTTCCGCTGGCCATGCAGCATTTCCTTGTTTCTGTTCTGTCGTCTGTCTCCCTTTGTCTCCGGTCTTGTCTCCTTCTTGTTGGTCACTGTATCTGCCTTGTCTCCCTTCTGTTTCCTTTTATCTCTCTTCTTGTCTCCCTTCTTGTTGGTCATTGTGTCCGCGTCTCCCTTCTTTTCTCCCTTCTTGTTGGTCGTTGTGTCCGCCTTGTCTCCCTTCTTGTCTCTCCCCTTTTGGTGGTCACTGCGTTCGTCTTGTCTCCCTTCTTGTCTCCCTTCTTGTTGGTCACATTGTTCCCGCCTTGTCTTCCTTCATTCTGTCTTTGTCTCCGGTCTTGTCTCCCTTCTGTTGTCTTTTGTCTCCCTTTTTGTCTCCCTTCTTGTTGGTCGTTGTGTCCGCTTGTCTCCCTTCTTGTCTCTCTTTGTCTCCGGTCTTGTTTCCCTTTTTGGTGGTCACTGCGTCCGTCTTGTCTGCCTTCTGTTCTCTTTTGTCTTGCTTGTTGTTGGTCATTGTGTCCGCCTTGTCTTCCTTCTGTCTCCGGTCTTGTCTCCCTTTTTGGTGGTCACTGCGTCCGTTTTGTCTCCCTTCTGTTTCCCTTTGTTCCCCAAACAGGTTTACCTGTGAGGGGTTCCTACTCCTTTTTAAAGGGGTGCGTGCTCGGGCCGGATGATTTTGAGTTTGTCTCCGGGCTTGTGTTCCTGGCCGCATGATTTCACCCTCGTCTCCCACTTGTCTCCCAGTAAGCTCTGGATGCTCTCAGTGCTCTGGCCGCATGATTTTATACTTGTCTCCCATTTGTCTCCCACTTGTCTCCCAGTTGTCTCCCAGTAAGCTCTGGATGCTCTCAGTGCTCTGGCCGCATGATTTCGGGCTTGTCTCCCATTTGTGTCCCACTTGTCTCCCAGTAAGCTCTGGATGCTCTGAGTGCTTGGCCGCATGATTTCACACTTGTCTCCCATTTGTCTCCCACTTGTCTCCGAGTAAGCTCTGGATGCTCTGAGTGCTCTGGCCGCATGATTTCACACTTGTCTCCCACTTGTCTCCCAGTGGGAAACAAATGGGAGACAAATGGCAGACAAGTGTGAAATCATGCGGCCAGAGCACTATAGAGCATCCAGAGCTTACTGGGAGACAAGTGGGAGACAAGTCTGAAATCATGCGGCCAGAGCACTCAGAGCATCCAGAGCTTACTGGGAGACAAGTGGGAGACAAATGGGAGACAAGTATGAAATCATGCGGCCAGAGCACTGAGAGCATCCAAGAGGTTACTGGGAGACAAATCAGAGACAAGTATAAAATCATGCGGCCAGCGCACTCAGAGCATCCAGAGCTTAGTGGGAGACAAGTGGTCTCCCAGTAAGCTCTGGATGCTCTGAGTGCTCTGGCCGCATGATTTCACACTTGTCTCCCACTTGTCTCCCGGTAAGCTCTGGATGCTCTGAGTGCTGTGGCCGCATGATTTCACACTTGTCTCCCGCATGTCTCGACTTGGCCCCCAGTAAGCTCACTTGTCTTCTACTTGTTTCCCACGGGCGCAAGGTCGTTGCTCTGTTGTATTTCTGGTGTTTCGAGTTTGAAAGCTGCATTGGCTGCATCGAAATACACTATTTTCACATATTTTCGCCACAAGCGTTGCATTGCTCGATTTGCTGTTTAGGTTGGCAGCTACTTTCGCGCGGATGATCAACGAAGCAACCACACACTCTTACGTCAAGTGTTGCGACCTATGGCAAACACAGGTCAATGCAGTACATGGCTAAGCCAAAGAAGGCAACTGCGTAGGAAGGAAAAAGCCAAGCGCAGTGTCCGTGCTCTGAGGAAATCTTCATTTTGATTGGGTCTGCGCATTCGTGTTTACAAGGGGGGCAACATATGTCACAACCTGGATCCATAAATTTCATGTTTTAGCCCTTGTACGGCGTCCCATTGTAAAGTCAATGAAAAGCAGAATTTTAATGCTTTCCCTTTGAATCTTGTATGTGCGTCTACATGGTGGACTATAGTTTTCTTCCTCTGGGAAATGCTGCTGGCCATATTGTTCGGAGATCTCATTTTTGAACATTGCTCTGTTTGGGGTCTACGCTGGTATAATCTTCCTTCTTGTCTCCCTTCTTGTTGGTCATTGTTTCCGCCTTGTCTCCCTTCTGCTCCTTTTTGTCTCCAGTCTTGTCCCCCTTGTTGTTGGTCACTGTGTCCGTCTTGTCTCCCTTCTGTTTCCTTTTGTCTCCCTTCTTGTCTCCCTTCTTGTTGGCAAGGTCATTGTGCCCGCCTTGTCTTCCTTCTTGTCTCCGGTCTTCTCCCTTCTTGTGTTCCTTTTGTCTCCCTCTGTTTCCTTTTGTCTCCCTTCTTGTCTCCGTTCTTGTTTGTCATTGTGTCCGTCTTGTCTCCTTTCTTTTTTGCCTCCCTTCTTGTCTCCCATCCTGGTTGGTCATTGTGTCCGCCTTGTCTCCCTTCTGTCTCCCTTTGTCTCCGGTCTTGTCTCCGTTCTTGGTCACTGTGTCCGTCTTGTCTCCCTTCTGTTCCCTTTTCTTCCTTCTTGTCTCGCTTCTTGTTGGTCATTGTGTCCGCCTTGTCTCCCTTCTGTCTCCCTTTGTCTCCGGTCTTGTCTCCCTTCTTGTTGGTCACTGTGTCCGTCTTGTCTCCTTTCTGTTTCCTTTAGTCTCCCTTCTTGTGTCCCTTCTTGTTGATCATGGTGTCCGTCATGTCTCCCTTCTGTTTCCTTTTGTATCCCTTCTTGTCTCCCTTCTTGTTGGTCATTGTGATTGTGTGCGTCTTGTCTCCCTTCTGTCTCCCTTTTTCTCCGGTCTTGTCTCCCTTCTTGGTGGTCAGTGGTCATTGTGTCCGTTTTGTCTCCCTCTGTTTCCTTTTGTCTCCCTTCTTGTCTGTCATTGTGTCCGTCTTGTCTCCCTTCTTGTTGATGTCTCAAAAAGTGGCGTTGGGAATGCTTCGTTGTTGTCTAACCTGTTTGGGGTCTACGGTGGTGTAATTTTTTAAACGTCAACTGTTACTGGTAGTGGGATAGACCCTAGGTTCATGATGATATCGGTCCCCTCCCTCCACAAGTGTTCGCTGGCATCAAGAAATGATATATATCTTAAACATATGATGATCGTGATGATGACAACGACTTGTGGCATCTGATGGCTGGGTCTGACTCCACCAACACATGGTTTTCTGAAATTTATTTTATGACGTGACTCGACGTGTGGACCTCAACCAGCATCACCTTGTTTCTCCAAGATGCTAGGTAATCTTTTTGTAATGTCGGTTACTTGCGACCAGGCTGGAGGAACTCCAATTTTCCTGCACATGTCCAGAGAGATATGCCAAACCCTTGCTTCCATTCACAAAGCTTGTCAAAACCAAAAGCATCACACTGACCATACCCTCCCTGGCTTCAAGACCAGTTCAAGACCCATCAGAAAGCGCGCATCCAACGACCGGGCTCGTCCGACCGAGTCCGTGGTGTCCGGACATGTCCGGACGGGGCATGACTTGGAACAAGTGGCTTCCGGTCTGAGATGGTCCGAGGTTCCCGTCCCAGCAGCCCAGTTGAAGGATCGGATCCTAAGCAGAAGGAAGGGAGCAGAAGGGAAAGGTGGGGGGCGCAGAGTTCTGGGAGACAGCTCCCCAAAACAGCTGCTACAATGCAGAAGTGTGAGGATGACTCAGCCAAGGCTGATCAAACCAGGAAGGATCTGGAGTTGTTTGAGGAAGAGGGATTCACCTGTGTTCACACGAGCAATTGCAAGGTCACCAATTGAAGCACATTGAAGCTCTCAAAGCAAACCTGTCGGATGGTGCTGCCGAAAGGCACTAAGCAAAGAAGAGAAAGCAAAGTAGATACTAGTGTGTGCAACTCTCTACTCGCGGTCCGGTTCTGGAGCCTAAGCTGTAAACTTGATATGACATGATATGAAGATTGTTCTGAGGCTGGATTGCATCTTCTCCAAAAAATGAACTCCAAAGCCTAACGCTTGTCTGAGAAGTCTCAGGCTGTGGCTGGATGTGTCAATTGATATGTTCAACTCATCACATGACATGCGAAGAGAACAACAACCCTCCTAAACACCGAACAACACCAACCCTCCCAAAGAAACACGGTGATTGTGGATGGCTTGCATGGAT